CTTTTACTTTATGATTGCATTAAACCATAAAGAGTAATTAAGATTAGCTCTTCTATATACGTAAGGCACTTACACGGTCTTAACATCTTAGATTTTTTAACTTAGCCTATATATAACGATAAAAATATGACATAATTTGATTAAAATTCTAAGCTTAAGATTTATAACCACCAGATTAGGTTTTTGCAAAAATTACATACCCTGATTTTGAAGAGGTTGCCTTTTAAGCAGGGATAGTTTTCAATTTATCAATGTGTCAACATTCCATGGGTCTTTCACTAATATATTAATGAAGAGTAAAATGAAAAGCAGAAAAATACAAAAAAGCATAGGAAACCTAAAAAATAAAAAATATTAATTTAAATGAATGGTGCAGTAGAAATTCATATTGATTGTTTAAGTTACAAAATGTATTACTCACACATAAGGCTGCTGGTATGCTGAAATAAGGTTACCGTAATTGTAAACAAAAAAAGTATTTCGGAAAATAGGTTATGCGCATGCAGCAAATGCACAAAATGTGTCTGAATAGTAAAGAAAAACAGACATTTATTTTTATAAGGGTTGCCACTACACACAATTAAAGAAATTATACAAATAAAAAAGCTTTTTTGAAAAAAAATTAAAATTTGCTGAAATATTTGACAAGAAAAAAAGCAAACCCTTACAAAGGTTAATGTGCACCCGCATTTCCCTTATTTTCAAGGGCTAAGAAAAGCCTGTTTATGTCATGAATAAGCGCACATTTTTTTGATGCATATACATTAATGACGGTGATGAATCAACTTCTTTACTCGTTGCAGATTTTTTGCCACAACAAGTGTTATAGCAAAGTGAGTGAAAACGTAGTATTAAAAAACGGAACAAAGATCTACTCACACATGCCCTAGATGATTGAAAGCGTAACTGAGCCGGGGATATTTTTAAACGCAACAGGAAGACGGTAGACTGGAACCATTTAAATGACTATTTTCCACCAAGTGTGCAACGAAGGGCAAAATAGCCAGGTTTCAATCATCTCCCTTAATGTGAACTTGCGAATTGATAACAGAAATTAAAAGTAAAGAGTTGAAGAAACAAGATTGGATATGACAGGTCTAGAATTGTTACCGTGAACGTGACTGTA